TTACTCCAATATTTAGCAGAGGTTGGCGGTGAAATGGCTACGTAGAAAGTGTCAAAACAACCTTAGGTAAATAGCCTATGATGTCTACTTTATATAAATATATACTTTTGTGTGGCAATTTTGTTTTCTTTTATGGTTATTAAGTTACAAGACAAACATACCAAATTCTAAAATCGCTCCACATTAAAAGTCTATTTTACTCCTTGTGCTTTGTGACCTGTAACTACCAAAAAAAACTTAAAATCCCAGACACATTATATATTCTGTAAATCAGAACAACTAAATGAATTTATTTTTAATTACTTTCCTTAACCTGCACTAATTATGCACACATTATTATTGCAAAAACTGTAAAAAAACACACAAAATTTTCATTTTTTTTACATTTTTCTGTATTTTTTTATAATAAATAAGCATTTATATATATATATATGTGTGTTACATCAAATTAAAGTCCTTTCTGTCCTTTAAAAAACGATGTATAATATGTGTTGGTGCAACAAATTAGTAAAATGCAAATTGCAGTTGAACGCAAACAGCAAAAAATGAAAAAAATCAATCAATTATGAAACACCTCCCTGTTTGTCAGCCAGGGAAGTTTTATTCCTACATCTGTTAGCTACACTGAGCTATCCAAAGCCCTACGTTAAACTGCACCTTCCCTGTCTCCCATGTTCCCTTAGGCCTGTGAGCTATCCAGCCGGCTTAATGAAACCTTTCCTTCATTTTTGATAACACAATTCCTGCCCCTTCCTGCAGAGCTGGTCATTTCCTTGGTACAGAAATCTGGACTAAAGAACAAGGCACGGGATCATAATGACTCCAAGCCAGAAGAACTGCAGCTTTTGCAAGATTTTTGGGATATACCCCTAATTCCCACATGCAGCAAAAATGCATGCACATATTCAGTGGGGTATATCTACGAAACAGTGGTTTTATGGCGTGTTTTTAAAAAGAAATATAGAAAGGAAGATAAATCTGGGAATACATTCCTCTCATGTTTTAGTCCACCTCCCTGTTGATCAGGAGCCATTATTTATATATATGAGATACATTTTCTGATCTCTGTTCACCACGTTATTTCACTGATTGTGGAAACCATTTTTAAAGAAAATGCGCAACTAAAAGTTAGAAAAAACAGCCTCGAATACAGACGCTCTGAGAGACTCTGGTTCCAGAGTTCTCCCACAATTCCATGTGGACTATGAAAAGTAGGACGGGCACGGGTGTTTTAATATTCAGATTCCCATCTGATGTGTCTGCAGGTTTCTGTAATAATGACACTCTGCCCTAAAACACAGCCTTTTAGGACAATTTATGCCTCACGATCCAAAGGGTCCAATCATGGTCAACCATAAACTGTGCAAGTTTGTACTCTTTTGACTCTGGTGCAGGAGAGTAAACCTGGCTGGTAATAAAAAAACCTGGCTGGTGGAAAAAAACTCAGATTTAAATCCTTCAAAGCCATTTATATGCCTAAAAATCACCTAATATTGTAAGAAAAATTAACGTGTGGGTTCAAACATAAAGGAACAATCCATGCACCATAATCAATGAAATACAGTTTTTAAGCCATTCTAACTAAAAGGGTTCAATAGATCACTCAGGGAGGGCACCAGGCCACGTCTTGCACCATAACTACTGTAGCCGTATATAGTATTTATGGAGCTCAGCATGTTCTTTAAACTCGTCTCTAAGCATTATAACACGTTTGAACCATTATGAGGTCATGGAACAGAAAGTCTCCCTGAAGTTTAATAGGCAAAGCCTTTTCTTTTCGTTTTTTGTCTAATACTTTAATGGATTGGGCGTTGATGATCAGTCCCTGCCTATTGTGTCTCTTGAAGTGAATAAAAAAAGAACCTGCAAGTTTAATTGAATGCAGGTCATACAATAAACCATGTTGTGCTCCATTATTCAGAATAATTGGTATTTATTTCCCTAACAATAAAAATACATGGCCCGAAATAGTGAAGGCATAGTTTTATTGTAGCAATTTCTCAGGTGAAATGCAAATTTTCCTGCATCTTGCTTTCTCTCCACTGGGCGATTATTATATATTTTTCCCAATTTTTTTTCTAAACGACCAAAGTTCACATCTACACCACAAGGTCTAAATACCGCAGAGATTTTAGATTAATGTTGTATTATTTTTTATTTATGAGTGCCTCATAAAATGTCTTGAAAGTGTGACATTTACACTTTTCCCGTGAATTTAGACACTTGCATCTTCCGACGGTCTGCCGGGATTTGCTCTGTGTTTGATGTGCCAGGTCTCGGAGTAAATTGCTACAAAGTTCAGCATTACTAACAAATGTATTTAGTATTTACAAAGATAGGTCTGATCCGTGAAGAGAGGGGATGACAGGGGGTTGAGGCGAGGGAGTTTGCGAAAGGCTTTAGAAATGAAAGCTTGCCTATGAATAAAGCATTAGTGCTATGGAGCGCAGCTACAGCGCCGTGCAGTGACATCACCAATCACACAGTATTTTCAAGATCAACCAGTATAACAGCTTCCTATGTGACCATGGCCAAATAATTGGAGTAAAACCCCTTAATCTGCTATTTGACTATTACAGGCTGTGTATCGCTGATTGTGCACTAGACACGTGCCTTGATCACTACGTTATGCTGTGCATTAACTCTGTGTGTGTTAGTACTAACCAATTTTTGCCAAACACTAAACCAGTTCTACCTATGATTTTTTGATGCCTTTCTAAGGTTCGACATTGCCCCACTCATTGCAGGATTTCTCTTTCACCAATATGTTTGTGTTTACCAATAAAAACATTGGCGCCAATTAGTCTTAAAGTGCAACACGCTTACATCAGATCATTCATAAAAAAAAAAATATATATATATATAGCAAAAACAATGAAATGTGCAAAATGTCATATATTAATTTTATATTTATATATATACACTGCTCAAAAAAATAAAGGGAACACTTAAATAACACAATGTAACTCCAAGTCAATCACACTTCTGTGAAATCAAACTGTCCACTTAGGAAGCAACACTGAGTGACAATTGTGACAGAACCATCTGTCTGCTTGGATTTTTACTACGTTTGTCTGTTTGTCCCCCGTTCGTATTAATGGCTGGTTTCTATGGCCCAGCCATTCGAATGACTCTTTTTCCCGAACAAACCTGCCGAACGAACGGCCACCCAAGTGAGGAGTGTGCTGCTGGTTAACGAAGTGATCCCAATTAGAACGTGTGGTTAACCGCAGACACTTCTCAATTAAACCGAATTCAGGGTGGTCGTCGTTCATATGTCGACCACGAGGCAGCGGCCATTTTAAATCAAGCGAATGCCCAGCGGTGTTTGGCTCTATTTCTATGGAACTGAAAACGGACACTTTTTCTGCCGAACACCGCTGAAACAACGGAACGCCTGGCTGCCTCCACTAAAGCATGCGAACACCGGCCGTTCGGGAGATTGAGAGCATACGAAAAGACTTAACCCAGATAGCCTTCCCATGGAGTCATTCGTATACCGAAAGACTGTAAGAACTTTGACTCCATGGCGATTGAACTGTGTGTGGGATCTGAGCGCTATTCGCTAATAGTATGCACTCAGATCCAGGCTATCTGGGGACATGTAATACGAATGGGAAATGTTCAGTTTTTATGTAGTTATGTATTTTTATGTCTTTTATTATTTTATGTCTAAGATGGCGACTGGCTTTGTCCTGGAGTTAATTGAGTTACTTGGTAATTAACTCCAGGGCAGAGGGGAGGGAATCATAATGCACTGTGGGTAAAATCTGTGACTGTGTGTCTGGGATGTCCCCAGATCTGTCTGTAATTTAAGTCTCCCATTTGGTCCCCTAGGGGAGTGTCCACCAAGTGGGAGACCTGCATAAATGCGGGCAGGTAGCCCACAGTAAAGCCAGATTCTGTTTGACCCTCAATGCGGAGCTTCTGTCTCGTTATTGGGGGGATTTCTTCTTCACGTTTAGAGACTGCTGGATGGAACGAAAGCCGCTTGGTGAATATTGCTGTTCGACGGTTACCAGCAGTTCGTGTATTGCCGTTCGGGAGTTTGGAGCCGTTCACGGATCTCGTTCGGGAGATTGCCGCTTCCCCTGCATTTGGTTCGTATATTACAGATTAAGCGAACGGAGACTGTACTGCAGCCGGGGAAGGTCTACTAAACGGCGGTTTGGCTTAAAAACACTAGAGGTGTCTTAACAACAATCAATTTCACATGCTGTTTTGCAAATGGGATAGACAACAGGTGGAAAATATAGGCAATTAGCAAGACACCCCCAATAAAGGAGTGGTTCTGCAGGTGGTGACCACAGACCACTTCTCAGTTCCTATGCTTCCTGGCTGATGCTTTGGTCACTTTTGAATGCAGTGCTTCCACTCTAGTGGTAGCTAGTGATGTCGCGAACCCGAAATTTTCGGTTCGCGAACGGCGAACGCGAACTTCCGCAAATGTTCGCGAACCGGCGAACCGGGCGAACCGCCATAGACTTCAATGGGCAGGTGAATTTTAAAACACACAGGGACTCTTTCTGGCCACAATAGTGATGGAAAAGTTGTTTCAAGGGGACTAACACCTGGACTGTGGCATGCCCGAGGGGGATCCATGGCAAAACTCCCATGGAAAATTACACAGTTGATGCAGAGTCTGGTCTTAATCCATAAAAGACATAAATCACCTAACATTCCTAAATCACAATGGATATGGATTGACACCTGACATATG